ACATTTGTTGTCAGGAACTTGAAAGGCGTATCAAGCAAACCTGATTTCATATTCGGATAGACCATACTCGAATGTATGTAGTCACAAAGATTTTTCTTTGCACAAGAATGTACAGTGTAGGGCCCTGCATTAGATGGACGGGACACTTTTTTTAACACATTGGCTGCCAGAGTAAAAAAACAAATAAAGCCAGATGTATCACCGGTGATGCATTGACAGCCAATGTGTTAAATTTGTCTATGGACACTGACAGATACATGGACAAACTGAAAAACTTTTAAAATTTTTTCAAAACAACAATTCGGTTGAACGATATTGATAAGATATTTGGCAGTAAGAAAGAAAGAAAGGAACAAACATTGTTTGTTTCTCAAGGCGATAAGGCTAAAGTACCTCTGGATTTGCCTGCTACTACAAAGCAAGTACCTATTTTGATGCATTTGGATTGCGAAATTCGCCTTCCAGATCATGATTTTGTTGTCGTGCTTCGTCATTAGCTTATATCATCTGTTTATGCAGCATGTCTGATTAAATCAGATGGTAAAATTGCTTATAGTGGTCCAACATACATAGCGATCAGATCTTGGTAACATGACAGGAGTACGACTAAAAATCACGCAAAGGATTTTGATACGTTGGTCACGTTAGACGCATTCCGTGATATTGCCTTGTCACAGGACAAGATCAAATGGTTAAACCGATTGTTGTTATAACAGTTGATGAAGGACCAGATGAAAATCCGCGTTATCCAAAGACCTTATCAGCAGCAATTGGTACATTTAAAAAACATAACCATGATGCTTTATTTATTCTTACACACGCACATGTGCAGTCTACATATAATGCTGTTGAGCGTCGAATGGCATCACTTAGTCATACTGTTGTTGCTCAATATATCGAGCCTGATGAATTATTAACACAAATGACTCAACAAAATCTTGACGAAAGTTGGTGTTCTGCACACGTTATTCAATCAGAGTAAAATTAAAATGGTTGTAAAATTGAAACTACGTTTGGATGGATGTAAAATTAAAACTACTTTTTTTAAGTTAAGAGGTTTCATGTTCTATTTCACCATCTGAAAAGCTAAATCCAATGACCCAGAGCGGTAAGTTGTTTTTTCAAAACTACTCGATCT